CCCAAAGAACCGGGGATCTTCTGCTTGTTAGGCAAATGTGTAAACCACTACACTATAAAAAAAGGGGGAATAAGTGACATTCAGCACTAAGCATCAGAGTCTTCTCGTTATTTCCATCAGATACTTTTTTAAAAAAAAGAATAAAAACCCATTAAAGTATAGTAGTAATTATCTGCTAGTGTGATCTTGCCTTTTCTGTGCTCTGTAGTGCAGAGAATGCCACACATGGTTCTCTAGGTCCTATCATGGCATAGCAAGCCATGCGTGTCAGCTCAATGCCATGTACTAAGTGGCTTAATCTAGTGCCTGCGTAACAGTGAGTGAGAGGGATACAGGGCTAAGACACCTGCGTCCCAGAGGCTTAAACCTCTGGTTGAAGCTACAGAAACCCTCTGACTTGTTGGCTCAATCAAGAAGAATCCAATATGGGAACTTCACCCTAAGTGGAGGATCAGGCGAGGCCATCAGTAAATGTCACTCTGACAGATACACAACAACAAACAAATAAATAAATAGTTGTATACAAACACATTTGTTAGGCCTTTTAAAACTGACATCAACATTTAGGAGATTCTAAGCACAGACATCCTCCCTCAGTGTCCCTTCAGTTGGTTTATTCCTTGCAATCACAGATCACAAAGTACACTAACTACACACATTATGAGTCCCTATAGACAACGAGAGAGATTCCCTTTGCTCCACTACCTTGACTGAGAGGTCAGAGGTCAGAGTCAGCTAGTGAGCTGCATTCCTACTGTATGTGTGAATTGGGCATATTGATCAAGGACGCTTGAAAAGGGCAGATGCTCATACCAGGAATTAATATCCCCAAATTTAGAGATCTCTACTGGTTACTGCCCTGCTTTGAGTTGAGTTTGATTGTGCATGCTTTCAGTGCTGGAGAATAGCTTCCTAATTGAGTCAGGCCTGGTAATCAGAAATGCACTGCTGGCTGAATTCAGTTTTAACTTTTCTTCTCTTTGGTCTTCTCAACCAAATCCCCTCCATCACCTCCCCTTGTCTTTTGCAATTTTCTATTCTGCCCTTTTCTTCTCCAAACCCTTTCCTTTCCTCTCCTCTCCTCCCCTTTGTCCCCCAACCAAAATACAGCAGTTCAACGCGGTCGCATCCCACCTCAGCCGAGCCTCAGCCCCTCCATCACACCCATAGGTGGCGCCAGTGGCCTTGGAGGCGGCGAGTTCTATAACAACAACAATGGAGGTAGTGGTGGTGGTCAGCCAGTGTCTGAACTTATTTCCCAGCTGCTGAGAGCCGAGCCTTACCCCAACAGTCGCTACGGACACCAGTACAACCAGCAGGCCGGTCCTGATAACGCTATGGGAATAGATAATATCTGTGAACTGGCTGCGCGGTTACTCTTCAGCACAGTGGAGTGGGCGAGGAACATCCCTTATTTCCCTGAGCTGCCTGTGTCCGACCAGGTTAGAGGATTATTTCTAATTAAAAGCCACATATACAGTTTTGACTTTGAAAGACTCTTCCCTCTTTATCAGATTATATTGCAGGAACTGTAAAAGATAAGCAGAATGAACTGAGTAGACATTAAAGTGTTGAGGGGGGGGTGTCACTGATTGAGACACTACTAAATCCTCAGGTGGCCCTGCTGAGACTGAGCTGGAGCGAGCTGTTCATCCTCAGTGCGGCGCAGTCTGCCCTGCCGCTCCACATGGCGCCCCTGTTGGCTGCAGCTGGTTTCCACTCCTCGCCCATGTCTGCGGAGCGCGTGGTGTCCTTCATGGATCAGGTGAGGGTGTTCCAGGACCAGGTGGACAAGCTGACCAGGCTACAGGTGGACTCTGCTGAGTACAGCTGTCTCAAGGCCATCGCGCTGTTCTCGCCAGGTGATTAGTGATTCGAGTGGCTAGTAAGAGCAGAAAACGTCTTGCTTGTTGACTTCACCTGCTGTCATTTAGCACAGCTAGATCAACAAAAGAATGGTACAAATCCTCACAGTTACATGGTGCCTGGCAAACATCCAACAGCTTTATCTTGTAAAACAGACCCTTCTTCTTCTTTCATGGAGAAAAAACAAAAAGAACTGTTGGAAGACTAACAAGCCACTTAGTCCAAGGCATTCATCGAACAATTTACCTCCTATGGCACCATCTCCTGGCTTGTCATTGAAAATGCAGTAATGTTTTAAGTGCTTTGTAATTAGCAGCACCATTGATCATCATGAGCCCTGAGCTTTTCCTGACTTAAGTCTTACATAAGTGTCTGCCTTAAAGAAATAGTTTATAGCGACTGTCACCTCTAAAAGCGATCATTATTTAAAGTAAAACTTTTTTAAGTGAGGCTTATAAATCACGTTTAGGCCTGAGAGCATCCATAGATGAAGCACTCTGGTTTCACGTGTTTCCCTCTGGGAGGTTTTATTACATTATTTGCTGGGATTTCATCCTTCCTCTAGGCTCATCACGACTCTTTATGTAACCTGCCCACACTATTAAGTAACTGCCTCCTCCCTCCTCCCTCTTAGATGCCTGTGGTCTAACAGACCCAGTACACGTGGAGTCTCTGCAGGAGAAGGCTCAGGTGGCTCTGACAGAGTACGAGAGGATGCAGTACCCGAGTCAGCCTCAGCGCTTCGGCCGCCTCCTCCTGCGCCTGCCCGCCCTGCGTGCCGTTCCTGCCAGCCTCATCTCCCAGCTCTTTTTCATGCGCCTGATAGGAAAGACACCCATTGAGACGCTGATCCGGGACATGCAGCTCTCCGGAAACTCAATCAGCTGGCCGTATGTCCCAGGACAGTAGCTCCCTGACAGACGAGGTCTCCGTCTGGTAATAGTGACGACAAGGACCCACAGGAAACCTCCTGACTCATCACTATCCATCTGTGTGGTTATCAAACTGCAGCGCCAGCTGGCCATCATATGCACTGTACTGTAACCGCTCAATTCCCCCTCATGAACGAGCCCTCAGACTCCACATGGGCCTCCAGAAGAAGAGAGTAGAAGAATAGCATAGCCAGTGCCAAGCTGGAGCTGTCTTGTTGCCAGTGCTGTCGTTCTGGTGCCAGGTCCCAGGCCGGAGACCAGCTCCTCACGCTGGGCTCCGATATGGCCACCACAGCCAGTCATGTCACCACCCACATGTCATAGTGACTAAAGACTCTGCAGTTTCATGTAGAGGGCAGCAGCACCCCACTACAAATACATTTAGAGAACAAAACTGTCCTGCCAACAAACACCGGAGGAGCAGTGTTTCTCACACCAGGCTCATTTTCCATGGCTCGCCATTTGTGATACAATGACCTTTTTAACCAAATAACTGACAACAGGATGATGAAGTATCACTATTATGGATCGATCTGTGCGCCTCACTGTTGAAGGGAAACTCTTACCTCGACAACGAGGAAGACACTAAGGAGCTCCTGAAAAGGAGCAGAAAGGAGATAAAACCAAGGAAAATTCACCAAAGTCTATCACATCATCCTACGAGATGGTCCTCACACCCAGAAAACGAGATGAACCGACTTGTGACTGCCTGACCATCGAGTAAACAGCCCATTTAAATTCATCCACAGGGCTCACTGGTGGTGTAGTTGAAGAAGATTAAAAAAAAAAAAAAAGGCATAGAAAGATGAGAGCGGACTAATACCTCACTAGACATCAGAATGCTTTAGTCTGATATTTCCTAAACACAAACCTCTGTAAATTTTGTTCACCAGAAACCGCCTTCTTTTTGACAACTGCCTTGTTTTTCAGTACAAATTTGGGACACCTGTGTAACACGAGTCTTAGATCCCCCAAATTGATTTTCAGTCGTCTACTGAATATGAGTTTTGACTCGCTGAATACGGTGCGTTCAGCGTTATTTTGATCAAACGTCATTGTTATTATATATACGTATATATAAATATATATTTGTTTTCTTTTTTCTCATATGCACTGAGAAACGGCAGGCTGACGTCTAAATCCTACTTGAGTTTAGTCGTTTGAAACGATTCTAAAACAATAAGAATTAGCTTGACAAAAACAGCTCTAAGAGTAAATAATCGACACTACCAGTTAAATTCCAGTTTACGCTTCTGGAGATCACGATCTCCCGAAAACTGTATTGAAATATGTACATATATATATTGAGCCCGGCTTTTGTCTTTTCTGCATGTTCAACTGTTATTTTGGATCTCTGCTAAGTTGATACTGTTTTATTTTATGTAATTAAAGTTTCATTTAAACATTAAAGTATTTGCCTTCAATGGTAGCTCCTAAATGTTTCTTCTTCTTTTTTTCCTACCTGTATTTACATGAAAATACCTCTGTCATCTGTTGAGATGTCAAGAAAGAAGCTGAATGCCATTACAACTAATACGACGTAGAGCTGTTCATGCTCTCATCTCTTAGCATCTTGAGTGTGTCTCTGCTGTTTGTGAATGATGTTGTAATTGATGAGGATCTGGTGAAAAGACTGCGCTTGCAGGATATTCAATGCCAAAAGATTATACTGTCTGTCGGGTTAGAAGAGGATGGGATTCCCCGGTCCACCTGAATTTACCTCACATGGGTATTTCAAGAGGAGGGTTTACAAAATCAGGACTACTTTAGGTATTTTTAAGGAAATGATGAAAAACACACTCCAAACTCAGCGCGATTCAGCAGTTAGCAATTTAAGAAACCAGAGGAAGGGTGCAACTCCTGCTTCTTGATTTGCCGCTGGGCCATTTTGGAAGTTCTTTGCATATTCTTCCCTCAGTCTACAATTCACACAACCGCGCCGTAGAAGGAGGGGAAAAATATTGTTAATGTTTTCTTATCTTTGTGTTACTGAGTTCCTAAGATTTAAAATTTCATGTGTATGGCAACGCTATTAAAAGAATCAAACGATGACGATGTGTCTTTTGTTATGTTTTTTTTTAACTTCTTGAATAATGTGTTGTAATTTCATCTGTATGAAGAATGCCAAATAAACACTGCAACATGTACTGCAAGTTTGCTGTTGAAAGTAGTTTTGTATGACAAAAACAGGAGCTTCACTTGCTTCTTTATTTACATTATGCTCGTCTACCAGCGTATTCTTACATAGTTTGTCATATATTTAAATTAAATTACAACTGAAATTGAAGTCTCATGCTTAAATATGACAGACATTGTGACAGACGTATGACAGTGACGTGTTCCTATGCAGTTTAAAACCACACACAGAGTTGCTGTGTGCTTACAGCTTCATGAACATTGATGTCAAAAACAGAAAAGAGGTTGACTGGCTGTAGGACCAGTATTAGTGACACTAGCTGGGAAGTTCTGTGCAGCCAGTGAAGGAAAAGTCAGTAAATGCTGGATGAATTCTTGTCAGCACACCTTTCTGGACAGATGAATAATGTACACTAGCAGAAACCTTGGTCGTAGATTTTCACCAGATGTTTGATGTGGAAAAGTTTTTGCCGAAGTTCCTTACTTTGCTTCTTCTTTGCTTGATACTCAGGCGTCTAGAAAAAACAAAATTTAAACAAGCGTATATTTAACAAACTCAATATTGTCAGTTGTAGTAGTGTTACAGTGCAGGAATGAGATAGCTAGCTTATTTTATAATCTGGACTGTAAAAAAGCTAACTGCATTTGTCTAATATAAGCAAACATGTCATAGCTACCCTTAAAGAGATTAAAAAGTATATAGATGGCCACATTCTGCTTTCAGGTCCTGATCTCTGGGTTCCACCTTTCCCTATTGCTAGTTCCTGATGTTCCTGCTTTTCATGTCACTGGTGCTGGTATGAGTCCTGCAGCCACTGCATGCTCTCCAGGGCCTATAGAAGTTGACTAAAGTTGCCTTTCCTTAGCTTGGCTAGTTTTTATTTTTATTTTTTTGTAGGTTTCTTATGTGCCTAGCTGGTTTGTTTTTGCTTGTTAAACCCGACTGATTTATTGTGACCACAGGGAGCTTGTAGGGGAGAGTTGCCATATTCTTCTGATATTCCCCTTTTTCTCTTGTTTATCTTTGGTTGCTAGGGAGTCGAGGAGTAGGTCTGCTTTTCTGTTGAGTAGCTTCATCAGTCAGTGAGTTTTATTTCAAGTTAGGGCCATTTTGGTTGCTGTGTTGGTTTTGTCTCTTCCTAAAATGAACTTCTGCTTCCTTTTATTCACAACCTGACAATAAATCTTTTCAAACCGACCCAAACAGCCTCCTCACGTTTCCCCATCTAGTATTATGTAATTCCCCTTACATCTAGGCCTATTTGGGGATGTAACACCGTCCACCCAAAGCCCCCAAATTGGGCTGTTAAATCAAAGAACAATGAAATGGCATGTGGGAAGATTTCAGACAAGCAAAGAAGGTGACAGAAGTATAACTTACAGTGAAAAAGTCTCGCCAATTTTGTTTTTATTCGATTTCCCTGGTGACTCTAATCCTGCATTTTTTCTGTTTGCGTGACCACTGACAAATTTTTTAGAAAATACCCCTCAGCTCCGTTACTGCAAGACATCAGAAAATAGTCTAGTTTATGGACTTAATCACCAGCTTCAAGCCCAATGATTATAAAACAAAGGTCATTTTAAAGAAATGGTCCTCAGCAGAGTTAGAAAGAAGGAGCAACAAGGGGATCCGTGTAACTTATGATAAACAAGTCGACTAGCATGCAGTGTCCCACTTTTTCACCAGCTGCGTTGATTTCAAAACGCTAAGATGAAGTTGGAAAAAATGTTCGGTTTGACGCTTCACAATGAGAGATGACGCAGCAGGCATATCCATCTTTTATATTCAATCTATGATTTTAGGTTAGTGTATGTTTAATTTACTCAGTTTCTCTCTAAAGTGAAGAAACTGCAAACTTTACATTATGACATCACAGATCTTCTTATACTCACACTTTTAAGGCATTTCAGTCGGTTATACTCATCTGCCACACCCTAAAAAAAGAAAACAGAAAGGTTTTGCTGACTTTATGCTGGGAAATGTCAAATACTTAAATACAAAAGCCACAACCATGACTGGCTGATATATTCTCCTGGCCCTCCACCTTCAGCTTTTCCACTCTGTGCACCTTATTCCTGTTTTTCTCTACCTGGTACTTCATGGAGTCTTCTTCCAGTGCGTCCAACTCTCGGCTCAGCTTGTGCATCTTGTCGCTGATGTCATCCAGCTCGCTGCAGAGGATCTTATAGCGCGACAGATCCGAGTCAAAATCCTTCTTGTATCTTCTGCGCTGCTCATCTGAAGTTATCTCTGGGTACAGCCTGGATTAATACCAAGACATGAAATCATTGTTACATTAAAACTGTTATTGGGGCAATGGCAGATACAAAGGGGAGCTTTTCATTAGTATCTCCACCAGTATTAAATTAGCTGAACTCCCTTAGAGGCAACTGTGATCCTGACCACTTCTTTCTGATATTGCTGTATTTTACTCTAAAATAGTATAAATACTGTGTCATTTCTTTATTAAAGATGTGACTGATTAGATAATTGTTCCTCCTCAGAGTATGATCTTTACTTAATTGTGGTTATAACCAAAGGGGATTTTTAAAAACTGATACCAGTGCTAATTTTTCTTGCTTAGTCAACATCTGCAGTGATATTCAGCATTTTTTTTATTTAATTCAATTCCTTCATAAAAAAAAATTAAGAGATTGTTAAAAGGAAGGAAATGCATCTAAACCAGCACGTAGACTCTTCATTTAGATGTAATGCATATTTTTAACATTATATGAGTAAAAACATATTTTTCTTGTTAAATAAAGAGACGTGTAGTTTTTATGATTTCGGGTTCAAGACTATATTTTGTATTTATTATTTAAACTACTCTGAACACCACTGAAGCTTCTTTTGCCTTGAGTAAATACTTTCTCACATGCTGAACTTTGAGGTTGCAGCATTACGTGGCAGCAACCTCAGGACATACCTGTAGAGGTAATCTGTGTGGTCCCGGTCCAGCCCGTTGCCGGTGTCTCCCGTGGTGTAACCAGTTTCATACTGCGACTCGATCATCACCTGAGCAGCAGGCATTGGCTCTCTGTCCTTCTTCCGTTCCTTCTTCATGTAATAAGGTGGAGGCCTGATGCTGTCACTCTCATCTGAAGAGCTGCTGGAACAAACTATGGCCCTGCAGTTTTGGTACAAAGGCTCAACACCACGTGTCTTGCTCTTGTTTGCAGAGAAACTGTGGAAAATCAAGACTTAACTGAAGATCAGGAACAGGGAAACATAACTTATGTGTCTCTTTTTGCTTTTTGTACTTCATAGTTGTTTGGATTTGAAGCCAAACATGTGTGTGTGTTTTTGTAATGTGACCTATTATTTGAACTCAGGCCACACTGGAGAATCTGTGCGTCACAGACTCATTTGCTGCAAACATCACCCACCTGTTGGTTTTGTAATTTCCCTCACTGTGGATGCTGACTGCTCCATTGCCGTAGGAGACCGCGCTGTTCTCCGCCCTCAGGTCTGGCGCCGCTCTCTCTGACACAACAACAGTCGGTGCCTGCTGGGTGCTGCGCACTTCTCCAACATGATTCACCTAAGACAACATCCGGACAGTCAAATCATAATCTCCTTATTTACTTTCAGGACCTCTGGTTTGAATAACCTGAAGTCTTTATCTTGGTATTTTCTGAGATAACGCCATATTTAACACGATGATATAAATAATATAATCCTCCAGAGTTGTGAGATGTATTTTTTTTTAAGCCGGAAAGAAATCCTTCGACTGACTCTGTCGCCTAAGTGGAGAAGTGCAGAACTGGAGGGTTCTCCAAACTGCTCAGAAACACTTGGCTGAAAGTCGGCATGTCCCTGCCAGACGCGTTCACATGTAGCCAGACTGATACAAGGGCAGACACAAACGCTAGCCTTGGCCTCAGCATGACTGTGTGACAGCTCTCATATCCATTCAGCCATTAAAGCGAGTGAGAAGCACTCCTCCAGGTTTTCAGGATGAGCTCCCGCTCACCTAAAATAATCTCTTCATTTCTTTCAGCAGCTAACAGAGGCGATTCATTCGAAGGACACGCGCGCACAATACAATTTCCCAGTTCCATCTGATGTGAGATGCATTCTACCAGAGCGTTAACAGTGTGAGAGCGTGTGAACATCAATATCATCAGCAGCGCGCTGAAAAGGCTGAGACTGCGGCGAAGAGTTGCATGTGTTTGTCAGACAGATATTTTAACACCTACAGTGTAACAGATGCTGCAACCACTGTCAAAAGAAAACATCCTTATAGGATACGGAGAATATAAGACACTGGAACTGCATTACGCCTCATTTGATCCACTGTCATATGCATCATTAATGAAGGCTTGTCTGACCTATTTCTGTAACAGGGTGCAGTCACACAGGATAAAGGTCTAGCGAGCTGATGTTTGAAAAATGCAGTCAGTGAAATAGATCTTATGAATGTCAGGGTTGCAAGTCAATCCCCCATGTGAGGGTGTGGGGGTGTGTGGGTGGGGAGCACCTAGAGGAAAGCTACAAGGAATTTGATCCACTGCGGCAGACAGGTGCACATTCAGCTGTTATTGTTAAATCCAGACATCAGGATTATTATTAGTAATGGTTCTGATTACTACCTAAATCTGCAGATATTTCTAATTAAATGATTGTGTGTCTATAAAGGGCTGCCAAGTATTAGAATTTAGAAATTTACCCAGGAAAGCTGTCTTTAATGATTGCTTTGACTGACTATTATGGTAATTTGTAAGCCATAGAGTCTGCGACATTATGTAAACACTCATCACAATAAAATCTCTCTGTAACCTTGAGATATTTTTCCTTTGGAGGAGGTCTTGTCATCTGTTCGACTCTGGGGTAACTCCTGATGCTGATAAAAAAAAACCCCATTAATTAAGTTTTTTTTAAATTCAACATAAGCAACGCACAGTTTTCAGATATCATAACGCATTTTCTTTTAATCTATTTTTCCTATATTCCCTCAATTATCTCCCTTTTCCAGTCATGTAGCACAAAACCGGGGGAAATTACGTCTTAGCCAGGAGTCTAATCTGCAGCAGTGTGTAGCAGCCCCTTCACAGACTGAATCATTTAGTGCCACCACACTCTGTAGGGATTCACACAGCAACACAGAGGCAACTCAACCCTTTTTATTCATTATACATGCCACATACATTATATATGCCTCCCTGCAAGGCAAGCATCTTCAGTGCGATACAAGAGTGCCCCAGAATAGGGCCTGCCTCTTGATGAAGCAACTTGGTACATGCTTTGCGGTGATAGGAAGAATGTAGGCCAAGACTTCACTGAACTTAATGAATACGTTGCTTCCCTTGCCCTAATGAGTCACGGTGGGCCTGATACGTTCATGTCACATGGCTACTTTAATAGATTAATCGCTGCTAAACATCGCAGCAGGCTACTGCGAAATAAAAAGAGCACATAGCGTCAAAGCAGCAGGAATAGCTGGTAAATGCTGGACCGCTGATGCTCTCTGAGAAAAGCTCTCAAACCAATTTTTCTTGTCCTTTTATTCATACATGTGTCAATAAAACTACAAAAGAACTAATTCTTTAAATTCCTCAAATCCCACATCCTTGCTGAGGTCATAACCTGAGATGAAGCATATCTGCATTTCTGAGAAATGCAAAGAAGGCAGATTGGACAGTACGTGCAGTATGTTCCCATTAATAAACGTGCTGTGGAGGATGTTTATTAGTGACATGACAATGAGCCAAATTGCACCTCAACGTTCTGTGAGCTTTGTAGCTGACCAAGTGGCAAAGTGATGGAGTTGTGCACCAGATGGCATGGTCATTCCAACAGCCTGACCTAACCCCCCCTCCCATCATGGTTGGGATGCAGAGGGAGGAAATCAGTCAAGAAATGCTTATTGCAGCTGGCAGCTCCTGCAAGACTGCTGGAAACAATTTTTATGATAACTTAAGGAAGTCGCTTGTCGGAATGAACAGTGCTCAAACCTGTTATCAAAGCAAAGGAGGTTATTTGAGGAATGCTTTGTTCACATTTTTTGTGAAGGTCAGAAGTTTACATGCTCTCATCACGGGCTTGAATGTTATGGTAATTTGGGGCTTTTAGTTATTTTTTTTTTGAACTATCCTTTTTGCATGGTGAAATAATTATACAGCATTCATCTTTAATGGCTTTGAAAAAACAAGAAGTGGGTGCACAAGTTTGAATTTATTTTGGATTTTCTCTAATTCCCATACAGGCTGATGGGCAACTTGCTGAGGGACATTTAATCAAATGTTTGTGAGAGTGAGTGTCAATTAAAAGCCCCAAATTACCACGACTGTAAACTGTAATTGTGTTATTTAAATTTTTCGATGTCTTCAGGACTGTTCTACTATACTGTCATGTATAAAAATAATAAAAAACCATTAAATGTGTACAAATTGGTACTTGAGATCAAGCACATTTTTTTTCTGTGGGTAAAATCTTGATTCAAACAGATGGCACAAAGTGGTGCTGCATGTTAGTCAAGAGCTTCTATTTCTGTCTGTCTCTTTTATCTGTCTCAGCTTTAAGTAGATTTTTAAGTTTCTAAGTCATAATTTATGTAATCTAAATTTAAACAAAAATAAATGTGACAGAAACAACATAGAAATAATGTTTGTAATCTGCATCATATTCACAGCAAAGCACATATCTTATCCCATTGATAAAATCTAAGAAGTCAACCTGCTGTTCAGGGTTATTTCTTTAGATGGATATTGTTCTGGTTTTTGTGGTTTTTGGCTGATTATATGGAGAATAATATCAATTAAAAAATTACTGAACGAGGTGCCGACACCTTTGCTACGTGAGGTTCATTTATTGCCGTCTTTGTTGCTGTATGGTGTAATATATTATGTCATATGTGAGGTTTGGAACAAAACAACTTAATTTTATTTAGGGACAACTAGTTAAAAATGTGTTTATCACAAATTCTTCTGGTTCTAAATGAATCGCTCTGAGACTGTGTGCAAAGTGAAACTTAAAACCTGGCTCTTAACCATAAAGTGAGTTACTTTATGAGCCTCCTGATCAGTTTCATGTCACTACAAGGTAAAACTTGGACCTTGTAATGCTGTCTGACTGTCATTGTTAAATGGTTTCTATGTGCCTGTTATCACTAGTCTGGTTAATCATCAGTCAGAGTGAAACCTGGGAGTGTCAAGGATAAACACCAGTATTCTTTGAATCCACATCGACAGGTATTATGACCTTGTGACACTCATTTTTCACTGTCAATGCATGAAAACTTCAACAGTTTGTTTATATAAATGCTGGGAATTCATTGGTGCTGGTATCTGAAAAAAAGCAATTGTGACTATTTAGGAAGTGATGTCACTGTAAAAAATGAAGTTATACAAAAATAAGTCAACATCTTTTTGTTAATTTACTTTTTTTTATCCTCAGCTGATAAACATCAGTTCTCCATTTATATGCTGTTTCAAAAATAATAATGAGACTTTACTCACCCAGTCCTGTATATCCTGCCCCTCCGATGGCCTGGCCACGTCCTCATCCCAATGGATGTTAGCTTTTCCATGGCGCCAAATCTTGCTGCGGGTTTTGTAGGCGAAGTAAGCAGAAAACGATAAAGCCACCACCACCAGAAGACCCAACACAAACGCCACTGCCTGAGGAAGGAAGGATGGATGGATGGATAGATAGATAGATAGATAGATAGATAGATAGATAGATAGATAGATAGATAGATAGATAGATAGATACTTCCTGCTAACCTCCTCGGGGTCCATGTAGCAGTAGTGCTGCAGGTATTGATTGAACAGAGGAAACCCCCCAGGAAAACCGGCCCCCACGCTGCCACTGAGGCTAGGGCTGCCCTGGATGTTCTGACACATCATGAGCATGGGGTTGTACAGCATGCTCTGCGAGCTCTGAGACATCGGGTTCACACCAATAACAAAGATGATGTCAATGATGCCCTAGATGACAAACCGAAAGCAAATTTAATCATAATAAATAAGTGATTTGCCAATGCCACAGATTAAAAACACAGAAGTCTCATGTAGTTTCTACTTACACTAAAAATTTGGCTCAAACATTTAATTTAGCATCATTTCTGAACACAAAAGGCTGCAATTCAGTTTCAGGTCAAAACTGACTGATCAGAAGAGGATCCCACTGATAAGCCCACAGAGAACACAGAACCACTGTACTGTGTTCCCCCTCTGAGTGGGGTCCTTCTGCATGGAGTCAGCATGTTATCCTGTATCTGTGCGGGTTCTCTTTAGCTACTCTGGCTTCTTCCTACTATTCAAAGATATGCAGCGTGTTAGGTTAGTTGGTGATTTTAATCTAGCTGAAGGTGTGCAAGTCAATTAAATGGTTGTCTATGCTGTCCCTGCGATAGACTGGTGACCTGTCCAGGGTGTATCCTGTTAGGACAACTGCTTTTGAAAAGCAGAAGAAGAATGAATGGATGGATGGATGAATGGATGGGTGACGAGTGCTGATCGAAGTGATCTGATGAAAATGAACAACTGAATATATTTGTGACTTGCTTTGTTTGTTGGGTGAGACAGACTCACCTGAAGGACAGCTAAGATGATATCACAGATGAACACAGTGAGGTAAAACCTGCATGTCCGTATGCTCCGTGACCGTGAGAAACTCGCCACCAAGAACCCCAGTGACACCAGGAAGTTGATGGCGCACATGGAAATCATCGCTGCCTTGGCAGACTGAGGCGTCATGTAGGAGCCGCCATAGCCGTAGCTACCTCCATAATATCCTGACCCCAACCCTCCAACACTTCCAGTATCAACAACACCATATCCCCCATACCCAAATCTGTTCATGTCCCACACCAAAGTTGATGCTACTAAGGCGAAGATGAGGAAACACATGAGCACCGTGGCTCCTTGGAAGGTCTTGACAAAACCAGGAGGTGAGAACCAGCGGTAGAAGTGTTGAGGCTTCCCCTCCATGTAGTAAGACTCTGGTGGGACATAGTAGGTATAGGGGACATTCTGACTCCGAGGGGATTGGACACTCCTTGGGGGATACAAGCTGTGGGAGTTAGTGCTGTAGGGTGGGCTGTACACAGGGGGGCTATCATAGTACCGAGGCTCATACATGGTTTAGTGGATGATGCTCCAATTTCACCTGGAAGAGGGGTGAAAATGAGACAGAATTAATGCAAGGGTAAATGCCTTGAGCCTATATAGATATCAGCACTATAACATAATGCATTTAATAGCAGATTTTAGTACGCTAAGTATTTTTAATTCAATTTTTTATAGTGTAAATTCTTCAGTGGGATGCTTTGATGAGCAAAATGACTTTCAAAATCTAAAAGATGAATTCACTTCCAACGCATTTTCCCTGTCCCTTTAAGCCCAAATTAAGTGTAGCTACGTTTTAGTTATAAGCACCTTTTTCAGCTCACCAGCATGCAGCACTCTCACCTCAGCCCGTCCCTGAACCCTTTCTAGTGTAGCTGACCCACACTTCATCACTCCAATGAGCTCAAACCCAGCACGCTTCAATTATTCAGACACACAGCAGATAAGAGGTGAGCCGGAGCAGCCATGCGTGGTGTTTTCAGCAGTGGTGAGCCACAGACAGCCCATGTTCTGCATGTTACCTGTGCGCACCTGCTGATTGTCAGCACCACTTAGGGAGGGGTGAAGATACAACTTAAATCCCCCAAATTTAACTTTTTCTGTTTGATTTAAACCCGTGAAATAACGAACTCATGTACTCCTCTGTTACTGCCACTGTGTGCTAATTGTGCATAACTGAACATCTCTACATTAAAAGAGGTTCATTCAAATTCAGCCAAGAAAAAAAAACACTTCTGTCCACTGTCATAACGTGTTTAAAATATGAGCATTTTACTTGGTCATAAAAGATTTTAAACTCATTTGTAACTCGGAGGTTTTCTTTTAATCAATAAGCATCATCAGCGAGGTTAAACGGTCAATAATAATTTTTTAAAAATCCCTTTAAATGTAAAAAAAACTTCAGAGAGGAATCAACAGGGACATGTGAGTTACGCAACTTACCCAAGCACCGTGAAAAACTCATAAACTTTACACCGATCCAGGTTCAGCAGCTTAAACCGCGTCGTTCATGACTCCTGTCCACCACCACACCGTCCGCTTTATATCCCATCAACGATCGTTAACTTCGCGTTTATTTTACTGGATGGATAGTTTCTCCTAACAAAGCAATGAAAGTTTCGAAAGCTTCACCCACACCCTCCGGAGCTGCCGAGCGTCTCAGCAGGGGCACCGTTCACCCGCTAACGACCTGCTTCACCCACGTGCTCGTGACAGTTTATACCCAGGCTCCTGCTACATTCAAATTAAAGTTTCCAACCTGCAACCTAAGTATAACCTACTGATATTCAGCCATTCAGCCAGTCCACGCATTAGACCGAAACCTTTTTGACAAATCTTTTAATAAATTCTTTTATAATTGTAAAAAGTACAATTCATGTGATCTATGATTCATACTTTATACAATGCAGAATGAAACTTAACTACAAAATCATAACAATAAGTGCATAACTGCTTTTGCCAGACAGGCCGGTCTAAGTATTTCAGACACTGCTGATCTACTGGGATTTTCTCACGGTGATCATCTCTAGGGTTCACTCTAGAGAGTGGTCTGAAAAGGAGAAAATATCCAGTGAGCCGCAGTTCTCTGGGTGAAATACCTTATTGATGTCATAGGTCAGAGGAGAATGACCAGAGTGTTTGGAGCTGACAGGAAAGCAACAGTAATTTAAATAACCACTCATTAGAAGCAAGGTATGCAAAAGAGTATATTTGAACGCACAACATATCAAAACCTTGAAGGTGATTGGTTACAGCAGCAGAAGACCACACTGCCACTGCTGTCAGCTAAAAACAGGAAACTGATGCTACAATTCACGCAGGCTCACCAAAACTGGACAAAAGAAGACTGGAAAAACACTGCCTGGGTTGATGAGTCTCGATTCACTACCTTACTGCCTACCTGAGTATTGTTGCTGACCATGTCCATCCGTTCATGACCACAGTGTACCCATCTTCTGATGGCTGCTTCCAGCAGCATAACACAAAACTCAAATCATCTCAAACCGATTTCTTGAACATGGCATTAAGTTGGCTATACTCAAATGGCCTCTACAGTCACCAGATCTCAATCCAGCAGAGCAGCTTTGGGATGTGGAGAGTAACATCACGGATGTGCAGCTTCCAAATCTGCAGCAAATATGTGATGTATCATGTCAATATGGACCAAAATGTCAGAGGAATGTATGAAGCACCTTGTTGAATTTATGCTAATTAACTATTAAGGCAGGCCTTAAGTCCAAAGTAGTTGAGTCTGGTACAACTAATAACTTGTGTAACTAATAACATGGTCAGTGACTATAAATCTGTTCTAATGGGTGTATATGACAAGAGAAAGGATCAACAGGTGGTTTTGTTTGTTGTTTGGTTTGTTGTTCTTGTTGTTCTTGTTGTTTTAATAGAAACACCACAGCCGCTGATTTCATAGATAATATCTCTACATTGTGTATTCTATGAGTGCCTGTGGCAGAGTCTACTGAGAACAAGAATAATATTTCTGAGCCGAGTTACTTTACAATACAATTTGGAGAAATTTTGCTGCATTCTCCCATTTAACATTTTAAATCAGAGAAACTATGAAATCTCCAAAATATACTAAAATCATTAGATTAAAAATTATTGCCAGTTTCCAAGTTCTGTTAACTTGGCACCTGCAGTTTTTTAACTGAGAACTGAGAACTTGCTTTCGCTGTGATGCCCAAAGAAGAAAAGTGAAAAGTAAAGAAATAACAGCATAAAAGTAATATAGTTGTAAAAAAAAATATTACAGAAAGATATATAACAATCCTTTAACTTTATTTTATTTCTACATCAAGCATGTGAACATTGCTCGGCCTTCACAGAAATGACAAGAAAGTGTTTAGAAACACAAAACCGTCAAGTCAAAGTTTTACAGAAGAAGCATCTCTTATAATGTTGTAGCCCAATATAATCATGTCACAAACCAGAATTTGTGTAAACAATGATCTAATTTTGCATGAAAATACAATGATGTGCAACAATCAGACTTTTCCAGAAGGAAGAATGTTGTCTGTCACACAAAACAGAAGCAGAAATTTTAAAAAGTGTTTTTATTTCATCAGTTCATCAGTTGCTGTGGACACTTGTTTCTGATCTTCTTCATGTCTGACCATTTGCCATGGTCTCCTGGTCATAATCACGGATTCTGTTTTTAATGTGGCTCAATTTGGCTTTCAAGTAGTCACAGCGTTCCTTTTTCTCTAGGAAAGTAGGGTCCTGCGAAACATGCACACAACAGTCTGCTGATTAATGCCTGAAAACTCTATTTCCAACCTTTCTTACTGATTCATTCTGTAACTGATCTGTGTTAAACATGATTTTTCAGAATTATTTGCATCAGTAGACAATTATTGAATAAAAGCTACTATTACCTGGGCAGAACACAGAATTCTAATACTTCTATGGTTAAATTTGAAAATTGCTACAGTTGATTTCAGAGTGAGCAGCTGTAGAAATCGCGGTTTATACTGTCATTAAAAAAACATAGAAAAAAAGGTAAAAATAAAATAAATTTGTCACTTACATTCCTTTTCTGGTGATACTTCTTTACAATACTTTGAATCCTGCGTTGGTCCTATATGAATAACAAAGTAATTAATTCCCATATAAAAAAGGAAAACCGATGGGAGGTCGGTATGAATCTCACCTCTTTGCTGCTTGTCTCTCTGGGGAGTCGTTCCATCATGAGATCCAGCTCTCTGAACTTACTCAGAGTAGCACTGATGTCTCTGTGAAGGTCTTTGTATTCCTGATACTGATCATTGAAAACTGCTTTGTACTTTTCCCTTTCCTCCACACAGCTGATCTCTGGATACTTGCTACAGAAAGGAGACACACAGTAAAACTGATTCTCTGTATTTTTCGAACTAATGGTGTGATTCAACATATAAATGTTAACTTACATGATGTAGTCTGCAATGATGTGCACTTTGGGGTTCAGATTGACTGGATTCTTTTGGACTTCATGTAGGAGATTATCCCGATTGTTATAATCTTTACTCAGCGCTTTGCCAGCTTCATCATCCCTGAATGATATGCGTTTTGTTGTTACCGGTTTGAGTGGGATGGACTGTTGAAACTCCTCCTGAGGCTGAAGGCAAAAGAAAAACATCATTTGGCAAATACAAAACAAATGAACCAGAGGTTCACAACACTATACTGGCATGTGCCATCATTACATGAAGGCTTTTATTTTGAAAAATAAAGCTGCATTTCTTTAATGGAACTATTACGTTCACATCTGGCTTCTCATCCTTTCTTATTTGACATTACTATACATATTATCCCAAAAAGCCATTACAGAAGACTATAGAGACATGTTTACTGCACAGGTTATGTGGCGATCTGTACTCACAGTAATATGGTTGTTTTGTTAGTCTACAGTGGCCCAGATGTTGTTGTCAACAGCTGGAAAAGCCATACATTGAAAACTAATTTGCTTCATTCTTGTTTCATGCTTCAAATATTTGCTGTGGGTTACTCATGGGATATATTTTGCTAAACCTCCAATCATCTCTGTATCTGATATTTCTATTTAGCTCTATCAAACCTGCAACGTCACAGACCATGGCAGCCCTCTTAGACCTGTTTATTTGCCAGTGGGGAAATGATATGGTCATGGGAGCAGTGCTGATGTTATTTTATCATTATCAGTATTGTTACTGGAACAAAGTAGCTGTCACGATCATGGGTCTTTTGACCCAGCGTTTTGAGTTTTAGTTTATTTTGATGTTTATAGTATATGTTTAAAGTTCATTAGGTTGTCGAAGTTCATTTGTTTATTAGATTCCCTTTGTGTTTTCTACCCTTGTATTTAAGTTTCCCTCTAACTTCATGTGTTTCATGTTGCGTGTCTTTTGTTGTCAAGTTTGTATTGTCATGTCTGCGTCTCATGTTTCCTGTTTTATGTTGAAGGTCTGTGTCCTATGTCAGTATAGTCAGCTTTGCTTCCTTTGTCTGGTTATGTCAGATTAGTGTCAGCTGTTTCCTCATGT